GATGACCAAAGATGAAGCTGGTAAGGCAGGCAGGGGCCAGATCATAAAGGACCATGTTAAGGAGTTCGAACTGTAACCTGTTATGGTGGCTAGCCATTGAAGGATGTTAAGCAGGGAACCGACATCAAGTCAGATTTCTGGTTTGCATAAAACTATCTGTAGTAACATGGATACATTGTGGCAGTGGCCAAGAAAGCTGCCTTAGACACTCAAGGGGCCTTTGAGGAGGGAGATTCTGGGGTGTTTTGGTGCTATGGACTATGTTTCCATCTGTGTGGCACATCTCGGAGAACATTCTGAAGCCCTTTACTATAGAAAGCAAGGACAGGAGGATATCCTAGTGATTGTTAGTTGGGGAATCAGTCCCAGAGTGAGTGACCAGCAAGTTAGAGGCTGACCTGGGACTGGGTCCAGGTCCAGCAGGTTCTGATGTTCTGCCTTCCCTGTCTTTATACCCCAGGATCCAGCGCTGCTTCCCTGTACCCTGTGCTCAACTTTCTACTCTACGTTCCTGAGCTTGCCCACTCCCCACTGTACATTCAGGACAAAGATGGCGCTCCAGTGGCCACCAATGCCTTTCACAGTCCCCGCTGGGGTGGCATTATGGTAATAGTCACACTATGCAGACCCCAGAGCCCATGCTTCTGGGATAGGCAGGTGTTCCCTGAAACTGTGTTCCTTCTGTTTTCCTTCTGGTGTCCTCCATGGCCCAGCCTGGGGTAGGAGCAGGCAGGGAGGTGAGGGTGCCATGTGCTCATGCGTCTCTTCTGCAGACCCCACTCTTGTTTCCACCAGTGTGTTCTATACTCTGACCCTTTGCCCTTACCTAGGATCATTCTGTGTCTATCATAGATCTTGGCCTTATTTGTGGGAGTCTTGCAAGGCTGGGAGCCCTTGTCTCCCTTGTTAGACTGGGAGTTTCTCATGGGGGAGAATTCTACAGTGGGATAAAAAAATATGTTCTACAGGACCTTCAAGGGGGTAATTGGGATAATTTATTTAATGCTCCCTGTAACAGGTACTGAAAAAATATTAGCTATACCATGAGGTTTATAGGTTCTAAAGAGCAAAGAATATGTCTTCCTTTTCTCTCCAGAGTGCCTAGGGCAGAGCGGTGCATGGCCTGGTGTGATGTTGTGGCATCCCCCTTTCAGGTATATAATGTCGACTCCAAAGCCTATAACGCCTCAGCGCTGCCGGTGAGAGTCGAGGTGGACATGGTGCGAGTGATGGAGGTGTTTCTGGCTCAGCTGCGGTGAGGTCCTGGATGGTCCACTTGGGGACATAGTCTCCTCGGCTGCAGAGGGGAGTTGCAAAGCGGAATCAAATCTTACCTGGCGGGATATCTTGGCTGTGCCCGGAGCCCCAGGGAAACCAAGAAGGGTTTCTAAGGATTCTATCCTCCTTTTTCTAAGAAGGACTAGTAGGTGACAAAACCAGTTCTAAGAAAAATAGACTCATGAATATCAGGTCCATGGGGCAGTATTAGGGCTGCTTAAGGCAATAGCTGTTAATTCTTGTGCTGCCTGACGGATTGAGAGTGGCTGCCTGAGGCTCTGTGTTGAGGATTCTAAGGCCGTATCTGGGCTCATTAGGAAAGAGTATTCTGATTGACTAGTGGTGTCTGTCACAGATGCAGGCTTAGAGAAGCACAGCACATGTGCCTTGGCAAAGGCAGTCCTGGATCATCCCTTAATGCTAAGTCCCATTGGCCCCATTTGTTCAAAGAGAGGGTGGAGCAGGTGAAAGGATTAAACTAAGTTGGTGTTATCAGAAGTATTTTAGCCATGGAACTTTTTTTAAAAAACAAGATCTTGGAAGTGCAATATCGAAACAGGTAAAAGCAGAAACACCGGTTGGAATAGTAGGGTTTGCGGCTAACTTGCTTGGTGTTGCCACTTATGCCCCAAAACCCTGAAGTACTTCCATTTGACCCCTGTGGTTCTGGGTAAGATTGAAAATCACTGGCTTAGGACAGGTATTTGAGAAATCTTAGCCATCCTCTCCTACCTTGTGGTCTCAGCGACCTTGATCTTACTCCGCTGTTTCTACAGGTTGCTCTTTGGGATTGCTCAGCCCCAGGTGCCTCCAAAATGCCTGCTTTCAGGGCCTAAGAGTGAAGGGCTAATGACCTGGGAGTTAGACCGGTTGCTCTGGGCTCGGTCAGTGGAGAACCTGGCCACAGCCACCACCACCCTCACCTCCCTGGCACAGCTTCTGGGCAAGATCAGCAACATTGTCATCAAGGATGATGTGGCATCTGAGGTAAGCAGGCAGGGGATGGATTTTGCAGCTTAGGACTGGAGTAGCCAGAGAGGGCCAGAGTGTGGTGAGATTAGAGAGTCTGTGAGGTCCGTGGTATGAGTGGGCTTGCCATCTTCCCAGGCTTCCTCTAGACGGCAGTACCAGCTCCCCTGCAGAAGTATAGATGAGAGTGTGAGCTTTCAAGCTGACCCTTGGAAAATAAACCATATCCCTTCAGACAGACTTCCAGAGATCCCAGATGAACTTCAAGTGTCTTCCTCCCTAGATGGAAGGCACAGTAAGGCCCAGCTCCCTTCCCACCAATGCCTAGGACTTGCTGGTATACCTTCTTATTCCTTCTCCTTCCTAGGTGTACAGGGCTGTAGCTGCAATCCAGAAGTCAGCAGAAGAGTTGGCCTCTGGGCACCTGGCATCTGCCTTTGTCGCCAGCCAGGAAGCTGTGACATCCTCTGAGCGTGCCTTTTTTGACCCATCACTCCTCCACCTCCTTTATTTCCCTGATGACCAGAAGTTTGCCATCTACATCCCACTCTTCTTGCCTATGGCTGTGCCCATCCTTCTCTCCCTGGTCAAGATCTTCCTAGAGACCCGCAAGTCCTGGAAAAAGCCTGAGAAGACAGACTGAGCAGGGCAGCACCTCCATAGGAAGCCTTCCTGTCTGGCCAAGACGGGCGGTGTTAGATGAGAGGCACATACTTGGGGCCTGCCGTCTCCAGTCTCCACTGTTGGCTCTCTAGCAACCAAAGTATGACACTCCAAGATGGGTTCATCTTTCCTTCCTTTCCCATTCCCCTGGCTCAGTCCTGCTCCACTGACAGGGGCCTCAAAAGGCACATCATTCGGGTCTCTTTATCTTGTGTGATCTTTAAGGCTGCTGCCTGTATCCCTCTGGGGCAGGGACTGTTTATTCTTTTGCCCCATTTCTCAACATAGCACACTGGTGCACTGAGAGGAGGGAGCATTATGGGAAAGCCCCTCCCCTCCACACTTCTCCCTAACCCCTGTGGGAGAGCCCTAGCCTCTGCTGTTATGAAGGGGCCAGGCATTGGTCACCTCTGGGAACTTCTCCCTCACTCCCCTCCCTCCTGGCTGGCTTTGTATGTCAGGTACAGTCTGATGGGAGTCCAGGAGGTAGCAGCTCAGGATGTGGTGCTCTGTGTATGTGGTAGAGGTTCCAGCAAGTTCCAGATTTGGAATCAAACAGTTGTGAATTCAAATTCTTATTTTTGCACTTATTGTCTGGAGTACTTTGGATAAGCTGTTGAATCTCTCTGAGCCTCAGATTTTCATTCGCTCAAATGGCACTGATGATACCTCCCTTACAAGGCAGTTGTGAGGATTAAACGTGATCAGCATGTAAAGTGTCTGGCGTATATTAGGCTCTTAATAAACACTGGCTGAATATGAATTGGAATGATATGAAGTCTGAGCTTTACTCTTTCTTTCTGCATTCACACGAAAGTAATGGTTTCCTGGTGTCTGTCTTCCTGTGCCCACAGGTCCACCTTGCTTCCACGTGGCCACGTGCCCTTCCTAGCTGGATTGCCCAAGGCTGTTAGCATCTGCTTTTTACCTGAGATACTAACTCATTCATCAGATTCAAAAAGAAAAAAAAAATCTTGAGCACCAGCTGCAGGGAGCCTTCTGTTAGTTGCTGGGGTCCTCCAGAGAACAAAGTAGGCAGGGTCAGTGCTTTCACAGAGCTGAGCTTTCGGGGGAAGAGTCAGCGGACAAATAAAAATAATTTCACATACTGCATTAGAAAGAAAAAAACAGGCTGGTGAAATGGTGACTGAGGGGGAAGGACTTTAGACTGAGCGTGAGGGAGACCGTTTGAGCAGATGACATTTGAGCTGTGACCAGGAGAAAAGAGGCCATCTGGGGAAGAGCATCCAAGCAGAGACCCTGAGCCTGGAACTCACGAGCAGAAAGGCTAGAACACAGCGAGTAAGCGGAGAGGTAGTCAGGACCCCACTAGTACCAGGAAAGTGTCAGAAAAACAGAATGAAGCCCAGGGCGGGCTCCCCCGACTCCCCTCCCACGCTCCCGCGGCCTTGCGGCAGGGGTGGGCCGGGCGGCGGGCGGGATCAGCGCTGGGCCCGCCCCGGGGGCGGGACAGGGGCGGGGCGGTACCTGGAGCCGCGGCCGGGGGCGGGGCTGCGGACGCTCCCCCTTCCCCCGGCTCCAGCCGGCGCAGGCAGCGGCGGCGGCAGTAGGCGAGCCGCGGCCCTGCGAGGCCATGAAGGTGAAGAAGGGCGGCGGCGGGGCCGGTACGGGGGCGGAGCCCGCTCCAGGGCCCTCGGGCCCGAGCGTGGCCCCTATACCAGAGCCGCAGGCGGAATCCGAATCTGGGTCCGAGTCGGAGCCGGACGCAGGCCCAGGGCCCATGCCGGGGCCGCTGCAGAGGAAGCAGCCGATCGGGCCGGAGGACGTGCTGGGGCTGCAGCGGATCACGGGTGGTGAGCACCCGCGAGGCAGCACCGCCCGCGGGCGGGAAGGGGAGAGGGCGCGAGGGGCCCTCCCGGCGCGCCGAGCCCCAGCCCCCGCCCCCTTTCCCGCCTCCCCTCCCCCACCGGGTCCCCCTCTCCTAGGTCTCCTACTCTCCCTTCTGCCGCCAAGCCTTAGATCTCTGTGTACCCCCTTCCGTTGATCTCTCTGTGCGCTCTTCTCCCTTTTGAGATTTATTCCTTCCTTTTCGAGGGGCCCGTCCCCTTTTCCCGGCGTGGAGGTGCGGCAGCAGCTGCAACCGTAGCTCTGTCCCTGTGGAGTCTCCAGAGCGCTTTGAGGCCCGCCCCTGCACTAATGGGGAGAGGGGCTGAGTGCAGCCTGTCCTCAGCCCCTACGCTGGAGGTAACTCAGCTAGTGGAGGCCGAGTTACTTGGGAGGCGTTCAGGCTCTTCAAGCCTCCCCAACCATTAATACCCTCACCTCAATCCTCCAGGAAGACTTGGGCCATTTTCTTCCCCTGGAAAGAAACTGAGCAGGCAGCTTCAGTGCGTTGGCTGTGCTTCCTCTCGTGGGGAGTGGCTTAACGTCCCTCCAAGCCTGGACTGTCACCTGTCCTATTCTGGGCGCTCTGTCATCAAGGGAGGCTTGGTTTCCACTGTGGTTAAGAGTTTCTGAGCTGCACTGCCTGGTTGGAGTTCCAACTCTGCCATATAATTGGCTGTGTGACCTTGGGCAAGTAACCTCACCTCTCTGAGCATGCCTTTTCTACTGTAAAATGGGGATAATGATACCTATCTCATAAGGTTATTGTGGAGATAAGTTCTCTGATTCTGTCCGGTGCCTGGCATCTATGCATGCTGTGTACCTTGGGCTCTTTGGTCAGTATATTTGGGCCCTACAGGGCTGCTCATGGCTGCTGCCTGGAGTCAAACAACTTGGCCTTCAGGGCAGGGGAGGGGGTCATGATAGGCAGGGAACGAGGGCTGGGAAACCTCATAGCAGAGGCCTTGGCTGAACCTCAAAGGATGAGCGGTGCATGGAGAGACGGTGGCTCTCCACCTTGGCCTCATCCACCAGCAGCCTGCCTTGGCCCCCTTTGTGAGGATAACTGTTGGGGCTCCTCTCTGTGGGTATGAGGGACAGGTTTTGAAGTGGACCTGAGCCCTGGAGCTTCCAAAGCAGCAGAACCACAGGGCTCCCAGACACAGCTGTGGAGGGGAGGCAGCCTTGAGCTGGTGCTCCTGGGTCGCTGGGGGGCCCACTCCTCTCTCCTTTCTGAGCGGGGCAGCAGCCATTATTGGCTGGGCCCCCAGAGTGCTGAGCTCCCGTGCCCAAGCAGGCATCGATGGAGGGAGGGGGCCTGGACCAGGCTGATGTTGAAGCCAGTTGGGCTACAATTTGCAACAGCAGCATTTAGGATTCAGCTTAGCTCTGGGGCAGAACTTTCTCAGAGGAAGTCCAGAGGTCAGACTGACTGAGTTCTAAGTAACTTTGGGGGTTTATGTTGCAACTAGAGGGAGCTTCCAGCTCATGTACCGCCATTTGTCTCCTAATTTGGAGGAAATACTTAGCCCTTAGAGATTAGGCATCTGTGGAGGGTAAATCGGGAAAAGGGCTTTATGGGAACCCCTTCCTGTGCAGGAGTTGAGAATCGAGTTCCAGGGCTTTCCACCCTGGCACCCCTTGCCTGGTCTCTTCTGACCCTAATCACGTAGGTCTGAGGTTTGCTGTTCCCAGATTACTGGGCCCTGAATCCAGCTTAGGAAGCTATTTATGGCTGGGAGGAATGGAGCAGTTGTGGTCTGAGCCCTAGGCCACTCTGCCCCTTATTTTGACCTGACCCTGGGTTCCAGGCCTCATCCTTTCTAGAAGGGAAGGAATGGTCATGGTGTTCTGAGCTATGGACATCCCTGTTCCTCACTTCCTCTAAGGACAGAGAGGCTGATAGATTGAGTTTTCAGTAGAAGGCACTGAGCTCAGACTGCAGGAAGTTGTTGCCAAATGGGAGAGGCTCCGAAAGTGGAGAATGGGAGGCGAGAAGGCCTTATGGACCTGGGAGCTGGGCACGAGGATCCTGCTTCCCACTCTGCCACCTCCGTTCCCTATGCTCTGTACCTTCTCTGTGTCTTTATACTGGTGCTTACTTTCTGTGAACAGGGTGAGGTAGGGGTGGCCCGCTTCCATTCTCCCCCCACCCCACCCATGGGCTGTAGTAGACTCAGGGACCTGCCTCTCTCCCCCCACCCCACCCATGGGCTGTAGTAGACTCAGGGACCTGCCTCTCTCCCCCCACCCCACCCATGGGCTGTAGTAGACTCAGGGACCTGCCTCTCTCCCCCCACCCCACCCATGGGCTGTAGTAGACTCAGGGACCTGCCTCTTCCCCAAGCTGTATAAAGTCTATACTGGGCCCCGGGGTAACAGATAACTGCCAGGAGGGCTTCCTGGAGGGGACTGCATCAGGCTTGGGGAAGAAGTGGGCCTGGGGAAGAGAAAATGACTTTATATTCACTTCCTCTTCCTGCCCCAGAGGATTAGGAGGTGGCCCAGGGGCCTGGAGGGTGATTTCTGGGCCTCGATAGGCCACCAAGGGAGGATGTGATGCCTCGCAGACTGATAGCACCAGAGTCCCTCCCCGTACCTCTCAGCTCTCTTTGTTGCCAGGGCCTCCCTGAGCACTTGAAGTTGCTGCTGCAAGAGCTGTGAGGGTTAGATAAGGCCCTGGAGGTCCCTAAGCTTCCTCAGGCAGGGCCTCCCACTGTTCTTGGTTCCCCTTCTGGGCCTGAGGACTCCCCTTACCCCTTCCACAACCGCTGCTGCACCTGCCATACCCTCTTCCTGGCCTAGCCTGTGTTCTTCTCTATGGGGGTCGGGGGCTACTTTCTCCAGGGAGGTGGCTCAGAGCCAGGGCTGTGTAAATGACCTCTAAGGGGGTTCCCTCTGCTTGCTAAGACTTCCTCCCATTTGGAGATCAACAAAGGATGAGAGCGAAGTTGGCCTCCTCCCCCTGCCATATCCCAGGCTCTGGGCTTGAGTCAGCAGAGCTTTGGTTAAGCTGCTTAAGGGAGCTGGGCTGGTGTAAGCCTCTTACTGAGAGGAGGGGGTTGGGAGGGGAGGAGGAACAGGGAAGGGGTTGTTCACCTGCCCCAGCACCACCCGTGTCAGAGAAAGTCCCCTCAACATCAGCCTCACCTGACACATCTAGATGTCATGCCAGGGGCAACCGTGGGACAAGAGTAGGGGTATCCTCCAGAGAAGGACTGTGACTCTACCAGGCAGAGCTGTGTGTTCCCCTGCTTTACAGTGTGGTTCTCAAAGGCAACAGAGAGGTTGAGAGATTGAGTTTTCAGTAGAAGAGGCAGGTCAGACTGCAGGAAGTTGTTCCCAAATGAGAGGAGAGGCTCCCACCACGCTGGAGATCCAGTTCTCCCAAAGTCACCTAGCCAGCCTTAGCAGAGCAGAGGCCAGAATGAGGACCTTCAACTCCAGGGTGGGAGGGAGAGTGTCCGGGAGGTGGCCTTGTCCTCCATCTTTCTCTGCCCTGCCCTTCATTGGCCCCCAGAGGCCACTGGGATGGCTCTCCTTATCCCCTGTTAGATCCCCATGGTGGAGTCATGTCTCTTTCACACTGGGGGTGTACCCCTATGGCAGGGGCTCAGGTTCCTCTTTCCAGAGGGCAGTGATCCCAGGGATGAGAAGATGGTAGCTACTCTGGGGTCTCCCACAAGCTGACCTGGCAGCAGGGGCTTTGGGGCCCTTTCTTTGCTCAGCTGCCTGTCTCCCCTAGACTACCTCTGCTCCCCTGAGGAGAATATCTACAAGATCGACTTCGTCAGGTTTAAGATTCGGGACATGGACTCAGGCACTGTCCTCTTTGAAATCAAGAAGCCCCCAGCTTCAGGTGAGTGGGCTGGGTGGGCCATTGACAGGTACGAGCTGTGGACTGGGCTGCCAGGGACTCCTTGGGCCACAGAGGAGTCCACAGAGCTGGGGCTTGGACCCCAGCGTTCTCAGGAGTCTGCAGGCAGAGAGGGCCCCTTCTTTTCCTGCCCATTTGTTTCTGAGGCTGGACATCTTCCGAGGTCAGCCCTGCCCCTTCGGTCCCTGGCAGCCTGACCTCTACAGGCCTCTCTGGGAACTGCAGTCCTATGGGTCCTGGGAACCACAGTGGCGATTGGGATACTGCAGACCTAGAACCCCTAGGTGGCGCTATTCGGCCAATGGTCTGACCCCTCAGTGTGCCCCAGAATTTCTTGGGGAGTTATAAAAAATTCAGACAGATGGGGGCCTGAGGATAGAACCTTGGGTGGACGAGGGCCCAGCCTGAAGTCCACTGAGCCTCAGCGGGGGTACATTGCAGAGCGGTTGCCCATCAGCCGGCGGGACCTGGACCCCAATGCTGGGCGCTTTGTCCGCTACCAGTTCACACCTGCCTTCCTCCGTCTGAGGCAGGTGGGAGCCACGTGAGTCACTGGGCAGGGGGTGGGGTCGGGGGGTGAGGGAGAGGGTGGGAGTGGGCCCTTGTCAGCCTCTCCTAGGGGTGGCCTGTCCCGAGCCTGTCTGGCTGGCTGACTTCAAGGACAGACTCAGCCTTGCCTCCTTCTCTTGCTCAGGGTGGAGTTCACGGTGGGAGACAAGCCTGTCAACAACTTCCGAATGATCGAGAGGCACTACTTCCGCAACCAGCTACTCAAAAGCTTTGACTTCCACTTTGGCTTCTGCATCCCTAGCAGCAAGAACACCTGCGAGCACATCTACGACTTCCCCCCTCTCTCCGAGGAATTGAGTGCGTGGGCAGGGCTTTCTGCGAGTGGGGATGTGGGGGCACGTGGGAGACGTGGGGGGCGTGTAGAGACCGAGCTGTGGGAGGGAGGGGGACTTGTGGGTCTGACCCCATTTCTCCCCGCCCTGGGGCTCTGTGTGTGGCGCCAGTCTCATATCATCTGTAGAGAAAGAGGCTGGGGATATCTCAAGTTGTTGCCGTCCGCAAACCCCGGTCCTGAAGTCCCTCCAGTGGCCGGAATTAGGCTCCTGACCTTTGCCCGGCCTGGCTGGGCCTCTCTTGCAGTAAGCGAGATGATCCGCCACCCGTATGAGACCCAGTCTGACAGCTTCTACTTCGTGGATGACCGGCTGGTGATGCACAACAAAGCAGACTATTCCTACAGCGGGACGCCCTGACCCCACAGCTGGCCCCACCCCGGGACGCTCTGGTTCTGGGCCCGGAGCTGTGACCTCCCCAACGCTCACCCCTGAACCCCAAGTCCTCTGCTTGGGAAGTGCCCCAGGAGACCTGGACCCTGATCAGTGTTGGGAGGAAGGGTACCTGGTGTCCCGGTCAAGCCCGTGAAGCCCATGGGGCCTGCTGCGTGGGGTGGGGTCGTAGGGAGGCTGCTTGCCTCCACATCTAGGAAGGCCTATGAGAGGAGCAATCAGGACTTCCAGACGACTTAGCTCAGCCCTCCTTGGGCCCAGTTTCAGAATAGTGTTCCCCTATCAAGGCTGTGACTAGGTCAGGCAGGGATCCATGCCCTGTCCCTCGCCCACTACCTTCAGGCCATTTAGAGTTGTACCTTACAAAGATCACGGTGGGCTCCAGCTGCCAAGCCACCCAAGGGAGTCTGGGCCTTAGGCCCAGCCCCATCCCTCCCATGAGGGGCCAGGACACTGCCTGAGGTGTGGGCGGGACTGGCTGAGATTGCAGCCCATGTTAGGAGCTGGACCAGCTGTATATAGTTTTCAATAAACTTTCTCCTTTTCTGTTCTCAGGTGTGGCCAGCCTCTATGTGATGGGCAAAGAAGGGAGGGGGGATAGGCAGGAATGTGCTTAGGGTAGTAAAAAATTTCTCCTACAGGCCGGACACGGTGGCTCACGCCTGTAATCCCAGCACTTTGGGAGGCCGAGGTGGGTGGATCACGAGGTCAAGAGATCGAGACTATCCTGGTCAACATGGTGAAACCCCGTCTCTACTAAAACTACAAAAAATTAGCTGGGCATGGTGGCGTGTGCCTGTAATCCCAGCTACTCAGGAGGCTGAGGCAGGAGAATTGCCTGAACCCAGGAGGCGGAGGTTGCGGTGAGCCGAGATCGCACCATTGCACTCCAGCCTGGGTAACGAGCGAAACTCCGTCTCAAAAAAAAAAAAAACAAAAAACAAACAAACAAAAAATTTCTCCTGCCTCCCACCCTCCAGTGCACTCTAACCCCTTGGTCTTCCTGACCCCTGATTCTCTGTGCCCTGATACCACCTAGAGTCAGCATTTAGAACAGGATGGAGCTGGAGAGGGTCTTTCTTGTCATGAAGCAGACCCAGATCCTGAGAGGGGAAGCTTTGGCCCAAAGTCAGAGTCAACCCTGGCAGAACAGAGGCTGAAACAAAGGCCCTGAATTCCAGGGTGGGAGGGAAGGTGTGGAGGAGGCAGCCCTGTCCTCCGTGCTATCTTCCCTGAACCCCAGAGGCCACTAGGACCATTGGGTTGTGCTTTTAGCCCTCATCATAGAAGGTGGCAGGGCTTTGGCTAAGGCCTGGAGCCATCTCCTTGTCCTCAGCTGCCTTGGGGAGCCCCCATGCCTGGGCAGCCCTGCACATAACACTTGCTCTCAGCCTCCACCCTCTCCCCAGATTCAGAGGAGGGGGCTCCTTCATGGAGGAAATTAAGGAACTGAGGTGGGCAGAGAGCACACCCTATACCCTACAGTTCCAGGCCCTCCGGATCTGCCCGGAGCTGACCCACCCTCTGGGCTGAGGAGCTCTGGCCCTAGGAGGCCCAGAAGTGCTGGAATTCAGCTTGATTCTGTGAAGCTCTTACTGGGAGCAGGCGGTGGGGCTAGGATCTGCACTGAATTCTGGGAATTCTGAAATGAGTGAAACACAAGGAACACATACTCGTCCCTAGCCAAAAAAAAAAAAAAAAGACTGGGTACATGGAGAGCAACAGAGTCGTTCTGTGTGGAGGGTTCTGGAGGGGAGTTTTAGAGGAGGCAGCACTGGAGCAGGTACTTGTGATGGGAAGAGATGGAAAGAGTGCTTAGGCACAGGGAACAGCATAAGCTAAGGCTCAGAGGCAAGATTTGTCAGGTGTATTTATTTATTTGAGATGGGGTCTTCCTATGTTGCCCAAGGTGGTCTCAAACTCCTGGGTTCAAGGGATCCTCCTGCCTTGGGCCTCACAAAGTGCTAGGACTATGAGCGTGAGCCTAGGTGTCTTCAAGAGTGAATGTAATGTGAAAGGAAGACATCTGCAGAACCTCAGGAGTGGGCCTTCCGAGAGGTGGGGAACACCTGAGGAGGATTAAGTGGGCATGACCTGGTCAGATTATCTTTGGCTGCTGAGTGAAGGGTGGATTGGAAAGAATGAGACTAATAATGGCCAAGATTTACTGAGTGCCGGGCCCGGGACTGGGTGCTCTACATGTGTTAACTCATAAAACACGGTCATTTCTGAGGAAGCCACTATTATGCCTATTTTACAGAAGATGTGGGCCCAGTGAGGTTACTGCGCCTAGCCAATATTGCACAGCTACGAAGTGGCAGAGGCAGTAGTTGAATCCAGGCAGTCTGGCTCCATGCACGACCATACTAAGGGCAGGGGGCAGTGAGGATGAGGAGGGTACTGCAGGAATCTGGTGAGAGAGAAAGAGAACCTGAATTAGATCAGTGTCCTCAGAGATGGAGAGAAACAGATGAAATTGATATTTTTAAGAGGTGAAATCCCAAGGACTGGTGGCTGATTGGATGAGTGGGTTGGAGAGAGGGAGGAGGCGAGGCTGACTGCCTGCTTTGTGGCCTGGGTGCTAGGGCAGCTAGGGGTGCCATCACTGGGCTTGGGAATGCAGGTTGGATCAGGGGAGATGCTAGTGGGAGATGATGACCTCAGATTGAGACATGCTGGGGCATGAGGGAAATGACCAGAAGACAGGAAAGACAGGCCCTGAGACCAGGAGGGGAATAAGGGCTGGAGGCGGTGATTGTAGAAGCCATTGACCACAAGGTGATTGCTGAAGCTTTGATGGTGGCTGAGATCATGGGGTCCTCCACTGACACTGTGGTTATTTAGTGAGCAGGGGACAGGAATGCCAAATGTCCTGCAATTACTGGGACTCTCCCAAACAATGTTATTACAAGAATCCCCATCCCCCAGTTGAGGGTCCCTGAATGAGAATGTATCACCTTGGGGAAGGCCAGTATTTGAGAGCAGGGCGGAAGGAAAGGAACCAATGGAGATAGGAGGAGTGAGCCTCCAGGGAGGTGCGAGCAGGACCATGTTTTGGAGGAAAGAATTCATCACAAAGCACGTGGGCAGGAACCATCAGTTGCCACAAAGGTAAAGAAGGAGAACGTGGATAAGAATATGGAGGGGAGGGATTTGTTTGCAGATGAGGCTGTATGGTACGGAAGTACCCTATACGGCTGGTTTTGCTGTTGTAGTTTATTGGGTCACACGTCTGCAGAGAGGCTATAGCAAGGAAGAAGACCTTTTCCCACCATCCTGTTAATAGTTCTGCCCACTGCTGCTGCCAAGTAGAACCAGGTTGAGGGTCTAGACTGGGACTGCTGCACTTCCACCTTCAGAGAGGAGGGTCCCTATCCTGAGGTTCTCATCTCTGAAACAGCTCTTTAACAGCTGGAAGGGAAGATGCATCCAGTTGGCACTCATCTTGAAAAGAGGTCCACGTCCCTTGGGCTTGGAGGACCCTAGGTAGGGGAAAGCCGTGGCCCCATGCCTTCCTTTAAGTCTTCATGCCTCTGGTACTAGTCCTATTTGCAAATGGTACGTCTTACTGCAGTTAGTTCCTAGCACTGTCCCTAGGAACCTAGAGGCTCCCTGGGCAGGAGAAGGAGGAAGACAGGGTGGAGGTGGGGCTAGTCTCAGCTCTGATGTTGGTGAGCTGTTGACCTTGAAGGGGGAATTCTCTTTTGTCTCTGAAATGGGTCAGTCATTTTTGCTTTCTTTTTTTTTTTTTGAGATGGATCTCACTCCATTGTCCAGGCTCTAGAGCAATGGCATGATCTCAGCTCACTGCAACCTCTGCCTCCCGGGTTCAAGCGATTCTTCTCCTGCCCCAGTCTCCTGAATAGCTGGGATTACAGGCACCTGCCACCATGCCCAGCTAATTTTTGTATTTTTGTAGAGACGGTGTGTCACCATGTTGGCCAGGGTGGTCTTGAACTCCTGACCTCAGGTGATCTGCCTGCCTCAGCCTCCCAAAGTGCTGGGATTACAGGTGTAAGCCACCACGGCTGGCCTGCATTGACTCTTTAGGGGTGTCATGAGAATCCTGTCCCTGGCTGGAGCAGGAAAGCCCAAGCACTACAGGGAAACCCACAGCTCATGCCTTCCTGGGCTGGCCTACAGCGTGCTCACTGGGACTGCCAAACCAGTGGTTAAAATATTGAGATCTTCCCTTCCAGCTATTAAAGAGCTGCTGTCCCAGGCCGCCTAGCCTGGCCCCTCCCCTGGAGTCACCCTCCACTTCCCCACCATCTGGCAACTAAAGTGAGAACACTACCTTTTTTCGTTGTTGTTGTCGTTGAGTCAGGGTCTCACTCTGTTGGCCAGGCTGGAGTGCAGTGGCGCAATCACGGCTCACTGCAGCCTCAAACCCCTGGGCCCAAGCAATCCTCTTACCTCAGCCTCCCAAGTAGCTGAGACTACAGGAAGCTGCACGTGCCATCACACTCAGCTAAATTTTTGTAGAGATAGGGTTTTGCCATGTTGCCCAGGCTGGTCTCAAAATCCTGGGCTCAAGTGATCCTCCCACCTTGGTGCTGGCCCAGGCCCTTACTCTACTTCTCTACGTGCCACAGACTCTCTTGTTGTCAGTCTGCTAAAGCCTATGGGCAATAAAAGGATTTTAGGAACATAAAATATATTATTATCCTATTTATTTTATGTATTAAAAACTATATACAGCAAGGCGCAGTGGCTCACGCCTGTAATCCCAGCACTTTGGGAGGCCAAGGTGGGTGGATCACAATGTCGAGATTGAAACCATCCTAGCCAACATGGTGAAACTCTGTCTTTACTAAAATACAAAAATTAGCTGGGCGTGGTGGTGCGCACCTGTAGTCCCAGCTACTTGGGAGGCTGAGGCAAGAGAATCACTTGAACCTGGTAGGTGGAGGTTGTAGTGAGCTGACATCACTCTACTGCACTCCAGCCTGGTGGCAGAGTGAGACTCTGTCTCAAACAAAACAAAACAAAAACAAACAAAAAACAAACTATATACAATTGGCCATGGGTTCCGCATCTGTGAATTCAACCAGCTGTGGATCAAAAACGTCTGTACCGAATATATTCAGACCTTTGTTTTGTCATTATGCCTTAAACAATACAGTATAACAACTATTTACACAGCATTTACATTGTCTTAGGTATTATAAGTAATCAAGGGATGATTTAGAATATATGGGAGTTTGTGTGTAGGTTATATGCAAATATGCCACCATTTCATATCAGGGACTTACTTGCACATTCATGGATTTCGGAATTTATGGGAGGTCCTGGAACCACTGTGAGATGACTGTATGTGTGTGTGTGTGTTTGTGTATGTGTGCGTGTGTATCTGCAATCATACACCGCATAGCAATGTTTCTGTCATGAGAGACTGCGTATATGATGGTGGTCACATAAAATTATAATACTGTATTTTTTTTTTTTGAGATGGAGTCTTGCTGTGTTGCCCAGGCTGGAGTGCAGTGGTGCAATCTCGGCTCACTGCAACCTCTGCCTCCTAGGTTCAAGAATTCTCCTGTCTCAGCC